TATATATTATTTGTTCATACAATTCCTAGCATTTATTGATTTACTGTATTTACGCATGTACTCTCTTTATGTCTTGTGCTAACAATTGTTCTCGCCAATTAAAATGCCTGTCCGTTCTCGCCAATTAACGACGCTGACACGACCGGTAACAGCTTGTCCGTTGATAGGAAGGCCGCTTATCATAGCCATGTCCTCTAGGGTCATCGTCAGCTCCCCACATGGAAGGTGGAACGAGTGAGTCTCCGTCCTCCAACGATCCACAAGTGCGGTCAACGCCGCGTGGTTCACCGGCGGAGCGCGTCGCTTAAACTGCAACACGAATGGGAGAAGACCCAATCTCCGAATATGAGGCTCGTACCGCGGGTCGTAAGTAAAGTCATCAGCGGAATGACCCCTCATGCGCATAGCAACTACAAGCTGCAAATAATGTGATGTTTTGATCAATACAAGAACACAAATGAGAAATAAAGAAATTTGACAAGTGTTGCTTCTTACCTTTCCATTCTCAATGGCACGAGCACGATGCTCCTTATCCCACTCATCGATTAATCCGGCATACCAAGGTCCATCATCATCCGCCATCCTACAAAACAAATCACAAACATCTATGAATACATGAACAATATAAAACAATACAATTTTCTTCTCCGAGTTATGCCATATGAACACACCATTCTTCTCAAACATAACCACATCATTTTTTTCTTCTTCATATGCACACATAATTCTTCTCAAACATACCAACATCATCTCAATCAAATAAATTTGTCAAATAATATGGTGTCACATATGCATATCACCTAGAGTACCAAATTTCACCATATCTTTTGCAAATAAAGTATGCCAACAATAAGATTATCTACACATAGAGACATCATATTTAAATTCAACTATATTGTTATACCACATACACACATCCTATCAAACCAAATTATCAAACAAGTCTATTTTACATACAAAAATCACCCCTCTTAGTTAAATTTTTTTTCCTATGGACAACATATGCACAAAACGGAATTGATTTTGCCTACATGTTCAACTACACATCATCTACTGCCTACCAAATCATCTATCAACTACAAACAATTTCCTAAAACAAAGAAACCATCTACTCATCTAACATCACCTAGTGTTGAATAATGCATCAAAAAGAAGAGGACTCAACCCAAAAAAATTGGAGGAGACGGGGGAGAATACCTCAAGGATGCTTAGGGGGCCCAGATCCACGAACTAGAGTGGAGGATGGAGTAGATCAGGTGAGGATTTGGTGTGAGGGAGAAGAGGGGCGAAGGAGAGGAAGCCCTCTGTTCGTGCGCCGCCAGGAGGAAAAGAGATGGGTGGGTGGGCTCGGCCCGTGGGGGTTATCCACTTGGCGTCTGGCCCCTTTGCCACGTCAGCAGGTCAACGGGCAGGCGGGCAGTGCGGGCTAGGGGCCAGACGCCAGGGATCCTGGCATCTGCTTCGCAATCCAGACGCCAGGGATGTTGGTGTCACCCAAAAAGGTCAGAATCAAAATTTCTTTTGAAACGAGGTCAAATCGGGATTTTGTTAGCCTTATAGGTCATAACAGTAATTTTGTCCCCAAAGAATGAGGTACCTTGTCGTTATGCCCTCGATGGACTGGACCATGGAGAACGTGACAACCTCGGAGCGGGCAGTTGCCGATTACGTCCAGGTTGGAGGTGGGCTGGTAGAAGAAGCTTCCACTTACGGTCGGCTGGTAGAAGAAGCTTCCAGCGTGGCTCCGCCTTTTCCAGACTTGTACCAGCAGGCGACGGGTGCTCTACAATTTATAGGGGAATTAACTCATTTGTTATTCAGTCTGGTCATAGTGGAGAGTAACTTAGACTAGTGTCAGACACTAGTCTAAGTTACTACCTTCATAATGCAAAATAACATGATAATAGTATCATAGATGGCTTCATTTATTTGTAGACTCATTTTGTCTTGGAAAGTGCTATGTTACAGTAACATATTATGTTACCACCTCACATTAAATACTTGCCACATAAGCAAAAAAAAATTGAAGTGCGCTATGTTACTAGCTAAGTTACTCCCACTATGACTAGCCTCATACATTAATTTGGTGGAGAAGAGGAACGGGACGGGAGTTTTTTTTTAATAAAGGAGAGGAACGGAGTGGAAGAAGAAGAGATAGACTTTGGGAGATTTAATTGGGGGCATTGACTTGCCATAGCACCGCAGTACGTGGGCACTATAGCTCGCTCCAAAATAGCCAATTCAAATAAAGAAAGAAAAAGAGAAGCCGCTTCCCAGAAAAAGTAGAATTGCGAACGTATCGTGGCTGTGGCGAAAAAATGGTTTCTGGGAGATCGAGAGGCACAACCCTTTTTTCAGGGAGTTCAGCTATTCGGCTGCACGGTTGGGGTTGGAAGCGGAACCATTTACGCGAACAACGCTGCTATTCGTTTCATAAAAGCTGCTGATGTGGCATGAGTGCTGAGATGGCATAGCTGAATGTTGAGATGATGTGGATAGCTTGCATGTAAAGATAAATAGAATAGTGAGAATGAGTCTCTTAGGTATATAGGATACCGCCGGGAGATAGCCACTAGGTGTAACAGTCCGGGGTAGTATCCTAATTAGAATTGATCCTTTTTTTGCATCATGCTTTAATCTTGAAATGGTGTTAGATTAAATCCCAATACATAGATTTGTGTCTATTTAAATTGAGAGACCTTAACATGGTGAAATCTGTTGAAACCACTGACCAGACTGGACTGAAGTGGAAAAACTGGAACCGAGGCCTTGTCCGTTTTTTAAGGTGTGTTGGTCTTTTAGCAGAAAACCAGCAAAATATCAAGAAAATCGTATGTAAACCACAAATCAAACCTTAAACCTTGAGCCACCACACACCCAAAGGCCCAATACCAACAGGGTTAGCTACAATTTATGATTTAATAAAAGATTACAACCAATATAAAGTTTGTGGTTGCTTCGGATGCTAAGCAGGTCATAGGTGATATCCACAACGACAAAACATGGTAGTAATGGAGCCATTATAAGCTTCAAGCTTCACTTTCTAGTTGTAATTTTACTTTTGAAGGTCGTGTTGTCAATATTGAAGTACGTAGTTTAGCCAAGTTCACTTTGTCTCTAGGTCTGAGACGTCACGTTTGGTTCGGCCAACCCTACAACCAGAACTGTACCCCACATTATGTTGATTTCGATGAATAAAGCTTGGTTCTGAAGGTTCATTTGATCAAAGGTCATTTAAAAAAACAACTTAAATATTCACGTTTTTGTCGCTATTGAACCAGTTGAACCAGCGGTCCGACCAGTAAAAACCTAAACCAATAGCCTAACATGGATCCACTGTTGGTCCTGTTTTTGTAAAGTTGTAACCCTATAGATAGCCACCACTAAAAATAGGAACCTCCCAAAATTATTTTCTAATTTTTGGAATAATTTAGTACCACTTACAGTTGCAGTTCAAACCCAAATGTTAATGTATATTGATTACATTCCATGTAAAATATAAATGAGTGCCCAAAAATATTGCAAGGCTACACGTGTTTTTTTATATCAAATTAGGAGCCCATTTTATCCGCCAAACAATTTTTTAAATATGGGCTATTTTAATAAAATGATTAAAGCCACGAGAGAGTGTGTGTATTGTGTGTTTGAGCCGGCCCAGCAGCAGTTGACTATCACTTAGTTAACTTTCGCCCTACCGCACAACATAGTCCTAGTTGCAGCCTACACACTTTCCCTCTCTGCTAACCCTAGGGCCACCGGTACTGTACATAACCTGCCGAGTCTGGTGGTTAAAAAAACACCTACCGAGTCCAGTCCGCCTTTTAGCCCAACCCCAACACCCCTTGGAAACCCTAATAGCCACCCACCCTATCCCCAATTTGATCGGCCCCGACCGCTAGTCCCTGCAAGAGCGCCAATGCCACTCGATCGCCTCCTACCACCACCTCCCTCTCTCCTACGGCCACACACAGCCCCGGGAGCCCGAGCTCCCTGTCGAGCCATGGCGTGTTCAAAAAATATTTGGAAACTTTTCATTTGTTTTTCATGTTTTTAGATATTGTTTGGAATTTAACAAATCAAAAGTTGTTCGCTTGAATAAAAATATACTTGTTTTTTTAAGGGAATAAAAAGACTAAAAAAAACCGGTTCCTAGAGTGAACATACTTCTACAGTGCATCAATCGGTACACTACACACTAAATGGGCTGGCCCAGTCATGGCCTATGTGGATCATTGAGATGAATCAATAAAGTGGGCGAGTTTTCTAAAAAAAAAGCGTCATATAGAAGCTTCCTCGGTTTTTTATTTTTCTGTAAATTGTTTCGTTCCACATCCATGTTAGGTTTTGCTTATGACCATTAATAACTAATAAAATATATGTGAATGTGTAGGACACGACTGTTCTGATCCTGAGCTTGGGCGAACAGTAACATAACTTTTCCCCGAAAAATTCTGATTTTTTTGTGTGAAACATTGTCAAATGTTTTGATAGCTTACAAAATTTCATCACCGGATGATATTCACGGAAAATATGGCAAAGAAAACAATATCAATGCTCCCAAACTGTTATTTTCAAATGAATTTCGGAGCATCAATTTTTGGTTTTTTTGCGACATTTTCCTCTAATGTCATTTCAAGATGAAATTTTGCAAGCTATCAAATTTTCTTGTCAATGTTTCAGAAGAAGAAAATTAGTTTTTTATTTATTTTACTATTTGCCCTAGCTCGGGATTAGAATAACACTTTCGTAAATGTGTATATCATCATTCTCTCTTTTCAAAAAGTTGTTATACACACTATGTACGTTGTATTCAGAAATAGAAACACCGGAGTCACTGACTAGTGGGGTTTGAGAGGGTTTCTGGACATTTGGGCCTTTTCCCAAGGCTCGGGAGCAATTTCCCTTCTCTTCCGCCGTTCCTGCTCGACTCCACTCCAGTCCACAGAGAGCACGCGCCGCCCAAAACCCTCGTCCCCACCGCGGCGCTTCCGGCGACGGCCATGGACACCCGGGTGCCGCCCGTTCCCATGGATCCGGCGACGGCCGAGAGGCTCCGGCGCGACGGCCATGACCCGGATGAGATGGAGGCCGTCTTCGCCCGCGTGCTCTCCCGGATCCACTACGCCCTCCCGGACCCGCCCGTCTCCGTCGACGCTCGCCTCTTCGGTCTCCTCCCCCACGACTCCGTCGAATGCGTCAGCCGCCTCCCCGACCTGCTCCTCCGCAACATCGTCTCCCGCCTCCCCGTGAAGGACGGCGCGCGCACCGCCGCGCTCTCCCGGCGTTGGCGCGGGGTCTGGCGCTCCGCCCCGCTCGTCCTCGTCGACTCCCACATCCTCCCCGCTGGCACCGCGGCCGCGCGCGCTGACGCTCGTCGCGTCACCTCCGCCGTCTCCCGCATCCTAGACGCGCACCCGGGGCCCTTCCGCTGCGTCCACCTCACCAGCAGCCACATGGAAGACTTCCCTGGCCTGCTCGCGCGCTGGCTCCAGATCCTCGCCGTCAAGGGCATCCAGGATCTCGTCCTCGTCAACCGCCCGTGGGCGCTCGACTTCATTATCCCCTCCACGTTCTTGGGCATGACCACCCTCACCCGCCTCTACCTCGGCCTCTGGAAGTTCCCCGACACGGCAGGCGTCAGGCGCTCTACCTGTTTCCCTAACCTCCTTGAGCTCGGGCTCTGCTGCGTCTTCATGGAGAGCAAGGATTTGGACTTCATCCTCGACAGGAGCCCCGTGCTGGAGACGCTCTGTGTCCACGGGAATCTTTTCAAGCTTAGCCTCTGCCTTGTCAGCCAAAGCCTCCGTTGCGTGAAGATCACCGGGTCCTTCTTTGAAGAAATCGCTCTGGTGGACGCCCCATGCCTTGAGCGACTCATTCTAACAGGTTGTTGGACCCGCGGCGGGGTTTGCACCAAGGTGAAGATCGGTCATGCCCCCAAGCTGCACTCGTTGGGGTACATGGATCCAGGAAGTCATGTCCTAGAGTTCGGCAACACCGTCATCAAGGTGCCTCATCTTTTCGATTTGTTTTATTGTACATCATACCTAAATGATCAATGCATATGTTTGATCTTTCTTCTCTTGATTGGCTGCACTGAAATTGCAATTGCAGGCTGGGACGAAGGTGAGCCGAAGCACCAAGGTACCAAGTGTGAGGATCCTTGCTTTGGAAGTGCGTTGTGGAGGCCGCAATGATGTCAAGATGATTCCGACTGTCCTCAGATGCTTTCCCAACGTTGAGACGCTCCACATCAAGGTGAAGCCCCTGATGCTTCTTCTGGCATTCATTTGCACCATCATGTACTAGCATCATATTGTGAATTGCTGCTGTTGCTGCATGATCCATCAACATCTGATAAACTTCATGTGCACTAACTTAATTATTTTTTCAGTCTGAAGAAAGTGGTCAACCCTCTGGCAAGAACCTGAAGTTCTGGAATGAGTCCGGCACCATAGAATGCATCCGCTCGTGCATCAAGCGGCTGGTTTTCCATGATTTCCGAGGGGATCGAAGTGAGATTGCTTTCCTCAAATTCTTCTTTGAGGGCGCATTGGTGCTGAAGGAGGTGGTGTTAGTGTTGGCCAATGGAAGTTTCACCACAATGGGGGATATTCGTTCCAAAGTGAAGCCTCTGATGTCCATGAAACGGGCCAGGGACTCCTCAATCATGGTTAATACTAATGGAGGTAGCATTGGGAACTTCAAGAGAGCATCCGACTTTTCTCTTCGCGACCCTTTCGGGGAGTACTGAAGTCAAAGGTGCATGTTTATTCATGGCCTCTACCTCTGCAAGTTGTTATGCTCTGTTGTCGCAGTATGGACATGCTCTGTTTTCAGCTTTTTGATGATCCACCCCGACCATTGTTTCTGGAAACACAGCTAGCTTAAGTGTTGAAGTTAGTGCTACCCTTTTCGATGATGCAAATGGCTACCATTATGTGGTAAACAATATTTCTTCTGTTGGCAATTACAGAGCACCTATTGTACTTGTGTTAAATGTGATTCCATTATCTAGATTTGGTCTGCTGAGAATGGTGTTACATTGCATAATTGCTGCTATAGGAATGTGGCTTGATGCTGAAGACTGGGGAGAATTAGTGACATGTGAGCTAGTTCATCTTTTGATTTAGCAATCCCGTACTTGGAATATTTGTTCCAGGTGGCTGAAGATTTTGATGCTCTAGATTGTGCCATTTTGTGTTCTGATTGATTTGCATAGATGTGCCGAGTCAATTATCACGGCAGCTCTTTATGCCCTCTCTGGTTCTTCAGTTGTGAAATTTGAATCCTCATTCGCAAGCTAATTTGGTTATTTTCGCGACGTGTCAAGGTGATGGTAACTTGAGCTGCATGGGCATGTGGCGTGCCTAAAAATGGTTTGTCCAGGCGGGCAAACTATGATATTAATGATATGCCCAGTCTTTTTTTTTTGCGAGGAATGATATGTCCAGTCTTAATGCCATTTATTCTTTTTTTTCGAGAGTATGCCAATGGTGTACCTTAGCTTTATAGACGGCAGAGAGATATGTACAAGAGTTTATTTACAATCGCAGGCCTCACATACGGCGAGCCTACCCACCCCTACTCCACACCGCCTAGCTGACTACTCGCGATTCAGTTGGACTCCACCCCTTCTAGCGATCGCCCAAAGGTGTCGCTCTCTCATGATGACCTCAAACGTACCTCGCTCATTACAAATATCATTCCTTCCAAACACTCTCCCGTTCCTTTGCTTCCAAATGCACCAACACACGAGCATCACCATAGCATCAAAGTCCTTGCGCTGCGCTTTTGTGACCTGCTTCCTAGCCGAATTCCACCATTCCTGGAGCGGTTCCTGTCCCGTGGGCATGAGCGACAAATTGGTCTCCGTCTCCATGAAGCATGTCTCCATGAAGCAAAGATGCCAAACCTGCCTAGCGAACACGCATTGCATCAGGATGTGCTCAATTATGTCCTCTTCTTGGTCGCAAAGATGGCAATGTGATATCTCGTCTTGCAACCCATGCCGCACGCGACGGTCAGACGTCCAGAGCCTATGCAGAATGGCGAGCCACATGAATATTTTGCATCCTAGCCGACGCCCAGCACTTCCATATTGCGGCAGCCGACTGGAACCTGATCCCCCCTTCGCACATCATCTTATAAGCCGATGCCGCCGTGTAAGTTCCAGAGGTGTTCCAAGCCCAGATTGGTCTATCCTCCACCTCCTGTGCCAACTGAACCTCCAGCAAAGCCTCCCATAACCTAACGAATTGTGCCAGGTTTTCCGTGTCCAGCTCTCCCCCAATGTCATTTGTCCACTCGTGCATAAAGAGCCCCTCTCTCACCAACCTCCTGTTGGCCACCTGTGTCCTGACTTTCCCCGCCAGTAACGGCGCAATCTTCTTTACCGTGTAACCATGAAGCCATCTATCTTTCCAAAAAGCGTCTGCGATCCATCGCCGATCTGCCAGCTGACCAAGCTCGTGAATGCCTCCTGGGCCTGCTTGTCGACCATGTTGCACAGCCTCTGCCATGGCCGCGACGGATCTGTTCTCTTCAACCATTCCCATCTCAATCTCAGCGCAATGCCATGTTTGTGCAAATCAATCACTCCCAACCCTCCAAAGTTCTTCGGTTTGCACACCCTGTCCCATGCCACAACACATGCGTTGGTCGCGCTCGCATGACCTGATTGACCAGAATAAGTCTGCCCGGCCTAGTCACCATACCCCTTTGCCAACCAGGCAGGATTCGAAGAGCTGCATCAATGATGGGTTGCCAGTCCGATCTATTTAAACCTTTAATGCTCAATTGCAGCCCCAAGTATTTGCACGGGAACTTCTCGATTTGCCAAGGCAAAGTGTCCCGCAACTGTTCCTCATCCACCCCTTCCCCTCGGATCAAGATCGCTGAAGATTTCTCAAAGTTCACCCTCACACCTGACGCTTCTCCAAATATGTTGAGCACCTCTTTCACAAATGCCATTTATTCTCAGATCTTCTCCACACGATGATAAAGTAAGTTGTCGTTCCAGAGAGTACACAATTAGTCAGCTCAGATTACAGGTTTTTTTTTGCGGGGGAGCTCAGATTACAGTTAAATAGTTACTCTTTTTCATTCCATTTCGTTTTTTTAGAAAAGGAGGATGACCCCCGGCCTCTGCATCTGGGCTATGCATACGACCACTTTATTAATTATTCTCACAAGACCTTACAAAATCAATACAACAATAAGACTAAAACCGCCTCTAAGCAACAAACTGTCGCTACACCTATCCAGTTGATGAAGGGGCGCAGATAGCCTGAGCCTAATACCAAACAGACATCGCAGCCAAGCCTAACATCTAAGACATGAGACCCCAACCTAGCCACTTGCCGGGTCTGGGGCACACACTGGTCCGGCGTGCTCTTAGAGGCCGCCGCCGCCAACTGCCACCGCTCCATCTTCAGAACTGTACCGATGCATCAACCTTGCTCGGTCCAGCTATCGTCGACGCCACCACGGCGCCCAACGGCACCTCCTCCCTGCGCGCAAACAGCTGAACACATCGCGGTCGCCACTGATACACCTCAGCGCCATGCCGCCAAGTATCACCAGCCGACACAGCTTGAAGTCCTTGGAGGATCTGTCGTGCGTAGCACCCGCCGACCAGGCATGACCAAACGTAGCACCTGCCGGTCAGGCATGACTTGACATCTCCACCGAAGCTCTGTGACGAAGCCGCTCCATCTCCTGCCTCTGACTTCCAGCGCTGCTCCACAAACGATGCTCCCAAGAGAGAAACGACACCGCAGTGCCGCCATCTTCCGATCTGGAACACCAGATCCTAGGGTTTCCCCCGGAGCAGCACGAGTGGGTCGACAACAGTTACACGATGATGCCTTCATCAAGGTAACAGTGTAGAACGCCGCCATTGCCTGCCGTCGGCTCGGTTTTCACCGGCAACCATGTCTCCTCAACTCACAGCCGGGACTAGATGATGGATCTCGAGATCCGATCACCCAACTTCTAGTCGGCCACCGCCAACGAAGAAGATGACCACCACCACTGGCTACACCGGCCAGAACAGATCTGCTATGGGTGCCGCCAAACAGTCCACCAGGCCCTCGATGCCGCCGCCGATCTAAAGCCAGATGACATGTCGCCGAAGACCGCATCACGCCGCCACCTGATCCAGGCCAGCCGGAGCAGCCGCCCATGGCCCGAGGCAGGGCCGACTGCCGCCGCCGTCGAAGCCAACACCGTCGCTTCTAGATCGGCCGCACCTGCACGCATGTTGGGGTCCCGCCATCCCTGAAACATGGGAGGGAGGAAGAGCCCCCGCCACCGCCGTCGGCCTTCGGCCGCAAGCCGCCGGCGTCCTCCGGCGGCGGCGGGAGGAGGGGAGGAGGATGGGCTAGGCCCCGGCGGCGGCTAGGGTTGGGGAGCCCGAGTCGCCCGAGCGGGGGGGCGACGCGAGCGGAAGTCTTTTTTCCTCCCTCCTTCATTCCATTTCGTAACAATGATTCACCAATTTTCATAATTAGTCCTTCTACGTATTTTAAGTAGTAGTCTTACAGAGCAAATTTCCAGAGGCTTAGGTCAACGGTGGCTAGTCACCAATTTTCTCAATACGTGGCTATCAGTTCCGTTGGTTGACCCCGAAGGAGTTTAATGTTGATAGGTGAACCATCCAGACCTCCAGTACAGGGAAAAGGAGTGGACTGCTCATGAGAACTCAAAGAGAAAAGAATGCAGCATGCTAGAAGGAGAAAATAGTGTGAAAGTGGCATTTTGTTACAGTTTGATGATGTCAAAAACATAAAAGGCTTGTTCAGACATATTCAACGATGCCAAGGAAAGCAGGCGTTGCATGCATACAATTGAGTTGTTGCATGATACTTACTACTCCCTCCGTTCTTAAATATAAGTCTTTGAAAACATTTCACTGTGGACCACATACGGGGCAAGATGAATGAATCTATACTCTAAAATGCATCTATATACATCCGTATGTGGTTCGTAGTAGAATCGCTACAAAGACTTATAATTAGGAACAGAGGGAGTACATGGCAAGGTGCAAGAAGAAATGTAAGGTTGATGAACCAAACTCACCAGTTACCTTCCAAGATCCAGCAATAAATAATCATGTTAGTAAGAAAGGGCAGTAGGTTTGAAGTCCGCTTTACAAAAGAGAAAAAAGAATAAGAACAAAGAGGTGAAAACAGGTATTGCAAGTTCAGAGATTGGAACAACTAATGAGTCTACAGAAATCGGTGAGGTGAATGGAAAAATTCAGTACAGTTCAGTAGAATAACAGACTAAAATGAGGAACATTAGAACTTTGTGAGCTTATTTGATAATTTATTAAAAATGTTTAGTGAAGGAAGTTAGCATGGAAGTAGCACTTTCTCAGGGCTTTGTTGCCTTTGTTTTTGATCAGTTCATGATGATCCTGCTTTTGGGGTTCCCAGCTTGAAATAGCAGTTGTAGTGGAGCTGGTGCAAAGAAGAGTACATGATCTAGGGTTGTGAATACTACAACTGGGATCACAACAGCTGTGACAAAGAAGAGTATATGAGCTGGTGCAAAGAAGAGCACATGACCTGCGGCACAGAACAGTAACACATCTGGGATTAAGAAGAAGAACAAGAAAGCTTCGTAAAATTGCGAGAAAGAACAGAATAGTGCCCACATTGTTACAACATCATGCACAATAGATATTTGAATGGTCAACATTGTACATGACAACCAAAAATAGCTTTACTATGAGACATTCAGATAATG